ACCAAATTTTTCTTTTCTTTTAATTGAAAGAGTTGTTTTCACAGTTAAGAATTCTATAAGACATTGGCTGGTTATCTCAGAACGTCTAAAAATAAATAAAAAACAATATCTTTAATCGAACTGCCAAGCCTACTTTATTATTTCTGGTACCCTATTTTGAGGGAAGTGTACAAATGGTTTACTCGCAAAAACAGCAAACAGCCGCAACGAGCGACAATTTAACGAGGTTGCTGCTGCCGTTGGATGTTGCTGTTGTTGCTGTTTAATGTTGCTGTTGCTGCCGTGGCTCCCAGCAGCAACATTTTGGCCTCAACCGCATTCGCAGTCGCCGTCGCTGCCGCTGCCAACTTCTTCGGTCGGCGGTTTCCATTTCATTTTTAAGCTAACGCTCGTCGCGTTCAGCGTTTTAATATTTAATTGTCGTCGATCGCGAGCGGTTGTCATTGCTCCAGAGCCACTGAATAAGTGGTATTGCCATTCGAATTGCCACGGCTATACCGTTACCGTCTATCGTTTAAGAAGAAGTGATCCGGATTTTTCTCAAGATAATCACAAAATACTTGAGTCGCGAGCCGCACATTTTTTGTTCAGTGGTCTTCTGCAGTTTTTGTTCTGTGTGTTTTGTGGAAACTATCCATCTGTGGAAATGATTCCCTGGATCGGTTTGAGCTTAGCCCTCGTGCTGATCGTCTGCCCCGCGGATATATCCTCGCGCAGCTACAGCAACGGCCTGATCTTCTACGAACTGAAGTCGCACCAGCCGTATTTACCACCCACGGTCAGTGTGTCCCGGGGTCGCAATTTGGCCAGTGTCAAGTACTCGGAGAAGGGCTCCATCTGGTCCACCTTTGGCCAGCCCTGCGAGTGCAGCGGACCGACCTGCGGATGCTGCGCCGGACTCAAGGTCGATCAGTACCGATTCGACCAGAAAGGTGAGCAAAATATATATTCTTTTCGCAATATATTGCAAGATTGCAAGCAATTCACGAAACTTTGGGAAAGTTTAGGGCATATTTATGCCTTTTTAGCAATTTAAAGTTTTCTTTTTAAATAGCAAAAGGAATGAAGGGATCATTACTTTTAAGACAGTTTTCTAAAATTAGTAAGCCAAATGCATCTGCGTAAAATAAAATTTGGGATAATTATGTTCATTATTTTAATTTAATTTATACTTTTAAATTATTTATTACGAGAGAACTGCAATTTTAAAACATGTTTGGCATATCCATATATATTTTTTTGGACTTAAAAATAATATTTAAAATGATTTAAATTAGCAATAAATTTAATTTATTCTTCGAATAAATATTGATAATAAAATAAATAAATAAATGTTAAAACACTCTATGAATCTGTGGACTTATATTTATATTTAGTTGCCAAATCGATTTAAGGGACTATTAGCAAAATTTATTTAAAATATTATTTCTAATTTTATGGGTTCTTAAATTTAAGTAATAGATATATTAATAATTAGGAATATAGCCTTTGTAGATTTTAAAGATTTACCGAGACTCAAATTAAATACAACGATATCTTATGCAATTTGCATTATAAATATATAAAATAATTATAATAACTAAAAGGTATAAATAAATAAGATATTGCTATATTTATTTTATATCTTGGTTAATCTTTAAAGTAGAGCAAAGTGCGCCTAGTTTGGTTTTAGATTACATTTTATTAATGTTTGTTAGTTATTTCGAGCAGATAGGATGTTTGAAAATGTTTTGAAGGTTTTATTTTCAGTATGCTGTTTAGCCTTAATATCTTAATATCCAGTAATAAGCAGTGGCTTAGTAGACCCCTGGGGAATCGCCCACTAGCCATATGGTTATGCAGTGATTAGGATCGCAGCGATCACTTAGTCCGGTCCAAATCGTGGCTCCTGGCCTGCGGGTGGTGGCAATGGCTCTCAGTTTGGATTCAGTTTGGATTCCAGGCCGATTTCCTTGGCCAAGAAACCGAAATCTTGGCGGTGAGTTGGCGGCGCATGCCGGAGACTACAATGCGATCGGTGGTTTCCATTTCCATTACCATTTCGCTCCGCTTCGCTTCGTGACATGCCAGCATTCGCCAATCAAAATGCCACAAATTGTTGGCGCTTGCAGCGGTGGTGGTGGTGATGGTGATGGTGGTGGTGGTTACCCCCTCATCCGCCTGGGATCCGTAGACAGTTTGCCACCCGCCACTTTCATTCATTGAACGAAACGATTCCATTCCATTTCATTGTTGTACGTACGTCTGTCTGCAGCTTTTGACTCAGCGTTTTCTTTCCATTTTGCCTCTTTATTGCAGTGTGCGCCAACGTGAGCTTTGTGCCGCAGCTGGAGGAGGCCCAACTGGAGGTCTATCTGAACGGCCGACCCTCCTCGAAGTACGGGCTCTCGGTGCGCAATCCGGCGCCCTTCTGCATTCCCGTCATGATGGGTGTGCCAATGGCCATGTGCGTCCAGATGACCGATGTCACCCTGGCGGGGAACAATCTGAACATGTGCATGGACTTTGTGGTGCGACTGGCCACCACGGATCTCTTCGAGATGCACTTCCAGTGCATGAAGATGGGCCTGGATGGGCTGCAGTATGTGGACAAGAACGGGCAGCCCGTGCTGCCGGCTGGCCAAAGTGACGATCTGGAGGAGTACGCGGAGTATGCCGAGCTGGAGGATCAGCCGGAGGAGTATGCCTCGCAGGAGGAAGTCAAGGGGGAGGACTACCAGCCAGAGAAGATTGGATCTTCAACTAGCGAGCAAGACAAAGAGGAGGAGAATCAACCCTTGGGCTATCCACCTCTAAGTCAACCGTTGGAGAATCAAGCACAGGAGACACAGCCTCAGAAGAATCAGCCACTGATCGATCAACAGAAAGAGGATCAATCAATGCTGGAAGATCAAGTAAATGAAGACAAGAGCCAGGAGTATCAACCACTGGGCTACCACCATCAGAAGAATCAAACCCTAAGCAAGCCACTTAAACATGATCAATTGGAAGAGCAGGAGGATCAACAGGGCTATCAACCACTAGGTCTGGTGGATCATTTAGACGAAGATCAGAAACAACCCCATGAGAATCCACCTCCTGCAGATGCACTTAACGAGGATCTTTTGGAAGATGAGCAACCAACGGGCTATCAACCCCCGACTCAGCCAGATGATCAACTTTTGGAGAATCAAGAGAAAGATGAGAGTAAAGATCATCAAGAGGACGAAGAAACCGGAGAGGTGGAACCCCTGCCAATCGAAAGTGAAATGCTAATGGCCAGCGATCAGGCAGATGAAACACCGCTCGAGGAAGAGGCTGAAGATGTGCCAGCAGAAGACGCGAAAGAGACGGCAATAGGGGCGGAGAAAGAGAAAGACTCTGTGCAAAAGCAAGAGCAAGAGACACCTGACAATGACAATGGTTATGGCTATGGCGAGAGTGGCCCGAGGCCAAGTCAGGTAATTGAAACAATTACCAATTCAATAAAAGCCACTGAGGCGCCCACAACAACAACTACAACAACTACAACGAAAATACCGACAAAAACTAAAATACCAACAACAACAACAACATCAACAGCCGCGACATTTAACAAGCCAAACATTGTTGTTATTGATGACACAAACAATGGGGAGAAGACAGTAGAAGAAGGGTACGAGAAGACAGTCGAAGAAGCGGAGAAAGAGGAGGAGACAGACGAGGAAGAGGAGGCAGAAGACGAGGAAGGAGAAACGGAAGAAGAGGCGACAACATTGGCTGTTGAAATCGAAAACGATAGCGATAATGAGATAAACGTGGACGATGATGATGATGATGAGGTGGAGAAAAAAAACCAGGTGAAGGAACCCCCGAAGAAAAAGGAAGAGCAGGCAAATGAGGGGATGAAAGAGGGAGAAAAAAAAGAGGAGAAAGAGGTGAAGAAAGGTCATAAAGAAAAGGTCAAGCCAGAGTCCATCGATGACACTGCAGCTGAAGGTGAGGAAGGGGAAGAGGCAGCAGAAGATGATAATGAAGAAGGCGATGGAGACGAAGAGGCGGAGGAGGATGAAGATGAGGAGGAGGAGGACGATGCCGACGAGGAAGACGAAGACGAAGAAGAGGCTGCAGAAGAATCCGCAGTAGCAGCAAAACCCGAAGAAAGCGCTGTGAAAATCGAAGAAAATGGATATGGTATTGCAAATGCATATGCAAATGTAAATGAAAATGAAAAGGCGACGCCGGCAGCGAAGTCGTTGTCCCGACGTCGACGTCTGCGCTCGCGCCGCCTGACCCGCCCCCTGACACGCCCATTGAGGAAAATCCATTAACCCCCCTCAACTTAATTAAATGTAATTCGTAATTGTTAATGAATTGTTAATGATGAACGTTGAAGCCTGTTAATTAATACGTATTTATTGTATTTATTGAAACCAACTCAAAGCCAAACTCAAGCGAAATAAATAATAATTGTAATTTAACTACTGCAAATTTCAAGTTAATATCAGGGGTTTGGAGAAGAGCAATGGAAAAATCAACTTCAAAATTTAACCATAGGTTGGTCAACATCAAAAGGCTGATTTCAGTTATTTTAAACTGAGCATTTTCTATTTGAAATACCCTGAAGCAAAATGTTTTGTTGAAAGCTTTCGAAAATAATTTATGTAGTTAATTTATGTTTTATAAGCAACAATTTTGTTGCAGCCAGTTATCAACGTCATCTAAAAATATTAGAAAATGGCTTAAATATATTAATGTTAAATGAAAATATGCACTTTAAGTTGTTTGTAGCCATCTTAAAATATAAGAAATGGCCTTAAGCAAAAAAAACCGGGTTAGTAAACATTTTGATTAAAAATATGCACCTAATAACAATTTTATAAACTTTAACCATCTTGAAAACAAAAGAAAAGCTCATCAAGGCAATTTAGTAAAAGAGGTGAATATGCATTTCAAATAAAATAATTTAGATTAAATAATATTAAGTTGTACTGAAAGACAATATTATTTCCCATCATTTTGGCTTTGCTTCATTTGTTAAAGTTCCCGTTGGGTGAATGATTTTGGTTAGTTTCTTGCCAAATTTCGGGTTGGCCCAAATTAGCGAGTACTTCGAAATTAGCCGTAGGAGAGCAGTGAATGTCCTGGACGAGTGGGCTGGCCAATGGGGGCGTGCTGGCCCCCCTGCTGCCGCAGCTCCGCCCCTGGCAGCGGGTCGATTGGCGCTCCTGCATGCAGTCGCAGATCTACGGAGATTGGGGCATCTTCTACAACCGCCGCCAGCTGAAACGCTCGGCGCTGGACAGTTTCGGGCGGGCGATGACCGTCTGCAAGGAGGCGGCGCCGCCCCCCGCTCCGCCCAGCTGCCCAATGGCCCGCAACACCGGCCCCGCCCACCTTCGCAGCTGTTTCGATGCGGAGGCGGGCGTGTGCCGCGGGGACTACAAGTCCCTGTTTCAGCGGAGTCGCTGCCAGCGGTCGATGGCCCGTCCGGAGCTGGCCCTCCTCGATGTCCGGCGAGCTCAGCGCGCCCTGGAGCTGTTCCGCCGCCCCAATGAGGCCTGCGCCCTGGTCACCACCGGGATCATTGCCGAGAAGTGCGACGCCCTGGTCGATGCCAACGAATTCGAAAGCGGCCTCACCACTCTGCACCTGGAAGGGCGTCTCTTCGGCGGACAGTTCGCCGACAGCCGCTTTCGCCAGATCAAACAGAAGGTGAGTGCCCACTCATCCCTCTAATCAAATGATTATATCCCAAATTGCTTGCACTCTTTTAAATTACAACTACCACTCTTACGAACTATAGAAATCTAGAAAAGTAATTTACAAAAAGGTTGAGAATATTTGGGAGACCTATCCATCTAAACATATTCTTAGCAAATTTTCAGTATAATCTTATAGTCAAAAAGATTTTATTTTCTGATACTCAATTATATTTTGGTTAAAAGCTAAAAAAAAAAAACAAAATAACTTTAATGCCAATAATGATACATGGGAATATTGATTTTGGCAAATTTGTATTTTCCATGAAGCTTTTACAACTTTAAAATATTTTTATTTTTGTGTTGAGCGCATTTTACGGCCTTGAGCCAATTAAATACCCCTAAAACTAAAAGTTTTAACAGATTTAAAAGTCTTTTGTTTTCGTGTGCCTTAATTACCTAGTTATTAATAATAATCAGGTCTTATTTGCCATCAGAAAAAGGTAGAGTAATGTAATATATTTTTATTCCCTACACTGACTGTAGATCCTTGGCGTTTTCGATGACACCTTGGGCGAATCGCTGCGGCCTTTTATGCAGCAGCACTGCGACGTCCTTGGGGAGGTCGCCCGCCGGCGGAAGGAGCTGGCCGCTCAGGTGCCACGCCCCCTCTGGAAGGAGATGCGCGAACGGGGGCAGTGCGACGTTCAGAGCGTCCTCGTCAAGGCGCCGGAACAGTTAACCCCATTGGAAAAAGCCCGTCGGCGGCTGAGCGAACGCCTGTACAACTACAACTACATGGGCCGCAGCGCCGATGACGTTGCGCTATTACGTCATCTGCGCAGCGACCGCAACTTTCTCGATCCGCTGAGGCTGATGACCACGCCCCCCCTGCGCCAACTGAGCGAGGAGCAGTACACAATTGTCCGTCGGTTTATGGTAAGTCTTACTAGAAGGTAAGTTTTACTATTCAATCATTTTATTGCTGATTTTTCAAAATTCGTATTAGAGACAGTATCCTAAAAAAAATATTTAGAATTTGTAAATAGTTTTGTAAAAAAAAACATTTTAGTAAACCTCAAGTTTACTTCAAAAACTATCTTTCTCAAGTTTAAGAATATATAACAAAGACCATTTAACATTAAAATACAATTTGAAATTAAAATAAATACTTTCTTTATTTATTAGAAATATAAATAAAAAAAGTAACATGTTGAAATCAAATGATTATTTCAATCATTAGAAATAATAACAATGAAATTCTTTGAATTAATTTGATGTTTTCAACAATGAGAAATTAAATTATCATTTGGGATTAATATCATTCCCAAGAAATAACCTTTTTCCCAATTTTCGAAAACCAATTAGAAAATGATGCATGCCCGGAATCCGCTGTACAACCGGTTGTACACGATGCAGCGGCACGGCCGGATCGGGGAGCAGGAGCGGCGGCAGCGGTTGCGGGAGATGCACCTGTTCCACGTCCAATACCGGACGCGTCGCGACTGCCTGAGGATGCTGCACGAGTTGCACAGGCGCCGCAGGGAGGGCCTCGATCCGGAGGGGCTGTCCGACTACGTGGAGCGGACAATGTCCGTACATTTCGAGCTGAAGACGCAGCGAACGCTGCCCTGGAAGTGGGAGTTCCTCAACGATGTCTACAATACGCTGGCACTGGCCTACTGCGACCGCTGCACCGTGCCCGACAATGTGGACTTCCTGGAAGCCCAGAATCGACACATATTATATCAATTTCGATCGGAGGAGGTGCGCGACATGACCGTCAGCGTGGGGGGCTCCAATATCTACCTGGAGATCGATCGGGAGAAGGAACGGCACAGCCGCATCAAGTGAGTAAGCTAATTCCACTCAATACATGGGAACTTCAATATATCAATCCAAAAGCAAAATTTGTGGCAAAAGAAAAAACAATTTATTTACTATTTAAGTTTAATCGGTCTTATTTTTTTTTTTTTTTTGCAGCCAGAAGCTGGAGCATCTGGGGAATCGACTGCGCCATTCCCGCTATCCGATCGAGCGATCCTATTTGTTATTCGAGATTGCGCGCTGCCACTTTAAGGGTTCGCGCTTCGACAAGTGCTTGATGGTGGTTCAAAAGGCCTTCAACGGTGGGTTAAGCTTAACCCATTGACACAGTTCTCCAGACCCGTTAACCTGTTTAAACACCCAGAGGCGCGCAGATGCAATAGTTTGATCTGGCGGTTCAACTGCGTGTTCCTCGGATGCCAAGTACATGCCGTACTGAATCGATTTGAGAAGCTAAAGGAATCCCTGGCCAAGGCCAGGCAATTGGCCAGCGATCTGAAGTCCCCGAAACTGGTGGCCTTTATTGCCATCTGCATTAACGTTAACAACTACGAATTGCAAATACGGCGATTGCGGCAGTCGGATATGTCGGTGCGGAAATCGCGCAAACGCAGTCCCATTAGCACAGCAACTCCAATGAGCTCTCAGGCATCCAGTAGTAGTGTGTTGTTATAGAGAAAATGTAACCAGAAAAACCTATTCCAGTTTTGCAATGGAATATTAAGTTGACAGCTGTTGGCTCAGTTGTATGTAACTAGCAAACTATTAAAATGTAATAGGTTTTTACTATAGGATTTAAATTTTGACTTGTTAATATACAAATATATCTAACACGTTATTTAAATTTCATTTCTGATTTTACCTTTGGAAATCTATACACCTTTTTTATAAAATTTGTTGGCTTTTGAGATCTCACTTAAATGCAAATAATGCACAAAGCTAAAATTTGAAATTTGTGGTCCGAACTAAATATGGGTTAAATGCGAATTCTCCCACGCTGGCACTTCGACACAAAAGTGTTGAATTTTCACAGCATTTAGCGTTGGCCCAAAATGTTGCAATAGCTAAATTAGTAAGCAAAGCGCGGGAAAAATGTTAACAACAAATGCCCCCAAAGAAAGAAATACAAAGAAATGGTGGGCCATTAGGGCCGTGAAAAACAATAACCCCCATAATCGGGGCGATATTATATAACACTAAATGCCAAGAGCCACCGGAATTATTTAATTATGCTTTTTTGTCTACCCTTTACGGCGCCGATTATACGACAATTATTGCAATATTTTTTTATGATTTTTAATTGCTTTTATTTTTCACATCAGTCGCAAATGTCTTTTGTTGTTGGTATGCTCTCCGTTGTTTTTGTTTTTTATTCGGCTAAAACTTTGCATAAGCCGCGCAGCAGGGGCGAGGTTTTTCGAGGGGGCTTCGACTATTACTCTTCATTTGTATGCCAGCGGGAGTGTGGGTGTCCGCTTTTTATTTCGCTTTTTTTTGCGGAAAGAAAGTTACCCGACAAAAAAAGTGAGATGGACAGGGGGCAGCCGCCAATTAAATGTTTTGCTTTTGCCGCTTTATCGTTTTTGGCAATAGCGCAACAAGCCATGCCATGCGGAGTGTCGCCGAAATGCGACCGAAAACAATAAATAAATACAAAACAAGCAAAGTCGAGCAAAAAGCAAGCTACCAGCTGCATTTCAATTGAACTGTCAGCCAGCGCCTACAAAACTTTGGGGGCGATGGGAGAAATTGCAACCGATTGGGGTAAGCTTAAACTATTTAATAGTCCGAAGGCCATAGGAAAATATATGGAACCAATTTTAAATTCTATACAACAGCATTGAAATACAGGCCTGAAAATAGATTATCAAATTACCAACAATAAATTCGTTAAATCAAAATTTTAAGTTAACTACAAAAACATAATGCTAATAATGATACTTTTTGACGACAACAGTTTAATCGGCAATTTAAAATTTCTGCAAAAATTAAGTCTTAAATAATAAACAAACACAATAAATAAAAATTTACTAAATATAATTAAGTACACATTTTATAATGTATTTAATACAACTCTTTATGAATATTATGCCAATAAAATTAAAGATACGCTGACCTACTTTTACGAAAGTTTAAACAGAACTCGACCTAGTCATCAAGACCCAGTGAATGTCAAGCTGTTTGTAATGCAAAAGTAAAAAAAAATTATTTAATTCATATTAAGTCAATTTCAACAAATGCATGTGCTTAAGCAATTGTTTTTTGTGTACAAACGCAATTGTGTCGAACTTATTTGTGTGAGTATGGGAATAATTATGTTCTAAAAAATAAAAAAGCATTCTGTAAAATCAGTTTGTTCAATAAGCTCAAAATTTATAATTTATCTGACAAGATTTGTACAGTGTAATAAAAAGTGATATTCAATATATATATATATAGTTATTATTAAAGCTCACAGTGTTATATATACAATTAAAATGTTTTTTTTTGGTAGCTACCAGTGAACCAGTGCTGCTTAAACCAATGTGCACTCATCAATTTGAGCCGCACTTGTTGCTGTGTAACCTGTGACCTGCGCTGCCACCTCGAACCAATTAGCCAGCACTCATACGCCCTGTTGCATGCATAAACAGCACTCCAAATCAACGCCGAGGGGCAAAGAAGGAGCAAATGGACGGAAAAAGAGCAACTGAAATAGCAACTTTCTGCCGCTTAAGCTCACACGTTTACAAAGAAGTCTAAGCTGACTGCAACTTAATATTTAAATATAAATATAGGTATCGTATTTAATTGCTGTTTATAGGTAGAATCTTAATAAATAAAATGGTAAGCTTCGAACAATTTGTATTTTTTAAGCATGGCAATTTGTGTATTAAAAAACGGATTTTTAATTTAAATCGGCTTAAAAAACATGATCTTGTTCATGCTTAATTTGTATACCTTTATTTTTATAAGTTTATAATAGGTATCATAGTATTTTAAATTGATTTCTCATTTTAAGTTCTTTTCTCAGTGCATGAACATGAAAAAATTATATGCACAGGTGTGGCTGGCTTGTTCAGGTGCAAATTGAGTTCACCTGGCGCTGAACGTTGACTTTGTGTCCACTGATAACGAACGCTGGGAAAAGTGTCCAAGTGGGGGGCTCTTTAGAGGGACAAAGGACAAGGACGGACCACAAGGACACGGCCAACGTGCCGCCAAGTGTCACCGAATACGGACGGACACTAGGGTAATTAGCCGGACTTTGCGTGGACAGAGTTCAAGTGTCAATGTGGCCCAGAGGCAGGCCTCAAGTTTACGCCTAATAACAGAGGTGCTCGGAAAAGTTGTACAAATTCCACGGCAAATTGACTTTGTCGGAAGGTGAAAAAATGCATTATACCTGTCAGTTTTTAATTTGATCTAAAATATATATTGTAGTTTCATTTTCTTGAGAAAATATCTGTAAAAAAAACGGTGTTGATCTGAAATATACTATCTGATGTATTATATAAACTTTTTTTAATTTTCCGTTATAAACGTTAAAAAGTCTAAAACTTGTTAAGTAAATTTTGTATATGTAAATAATTTATTTTATAAATATTTCTAAGTAAATAGTTTACTTAGTAAATTGTATAAATAAATAGTTTATTAAGTTAAGGTCTGTAAGTTTTAAATTCTAACCGAAATACAAGGTTTTCCAGCTGTATTTTGAAAGTGCTCATTTGGACCTGCTCGAATATTCCGCCATCGAATGTGTGCCCAAGCCGGGAAATATCCTTCCGCGACTGAGAAATCCTTGCCCCCTCCCCCTGTTTTGATGGGAACTCGGAAAGCCGAGCGTTCGGAGCCGAAGTTTATGGCTTCGTGCAAGGCAGCATCATTGCCATGTGGCTGTGGCGGCCACCAGTCGCCGGATGGGGAGCCTCAGTTCGCTTTTGTGTCGCCTTGTGGCAGGTCGCCTTCGCTGTCGGCTACTTGATATCTGATTCCGGATTTCTGATATTCTCGCCTCGCCGTGTCGCACATACGCCCCGTTGGCCCGGTACGGAAAGTGCGCCAACTTTCGGCTGAACATTTGAAAAGGATAAGGCGTTGTCTGGCCCTTTTTTTTGGAGGTGAGCGATTGTCATACGCCCTTCCTGGCGATCCCTGGCCGATTTATTATTTATTCGGCATTGTGTGCCTCGCTTTTGCGGTGCAAAACACTTTGCATAGTTAGTTAGATAGATGGACCTATGGAATAGCCGAAAGCCATTAACATGAATCTTTCATTTCATTACACTCGTATTTGTCCCGGTCCAGTACGTACGTATTATTGCAACAAAGATTTCCACTCCGCACATGGCGTTTTTATGAGGCCCCCGAGTGTCTTTGCCCCATTTCATCTTAGTTTTGTGGACTTTTGTCATCACGCGTGGGTTAATCGTGCCAATGCCTTCGGCTTATGCCAACACACGCTTGGCATAGTCATTACTTCGACATTTGATGGGGATTTGGGGGCCTAGTTGTTGTGACCACAAATCAAAAATAGGATTTATCAACCGCATATAAAAGTTGCAATAACAAGGGATGTATTTCGTAGCTAAATAAAAAGCTATAAAACCCAATTGAGTAAGAATACTTAAACATTTTAAGCTATTATTAACAACAATAGTTTATCAGCAACTTAGAAAGAGCAATTCATACTTTTGAAAAAAAGTATTTATTAATTATTTAAAATACAATCATATACAAATAATTTAATAATACTGGCCATTAACGAAAGTTACACATAATTTCGATCAGTTTTTATACCCTTGCAGAGGGTATTATAATTTCAGTCAGAAGTTTGCAACGCAGTGAAGGAGACGTTTCCGACCCTATAAAGTATATATATTCTTGATCAGCATCACTAGTAGAGTCGATCTAGCCATGTCCGTCTGTCCGTCCGTCTGTCCGTCTGTCCGTCCGTCTGTCCGTCCGTTTATATGCAAACTAGTCTCTCAGTTTTAAAGCTATCTGCATGAAACTTTCCCAAAAGTTGTCTTTCTATTGCAGGTAGTATATAAGTCGGAACGAGCCGGATCGGACGATTATATCATATAGCTCCCATAGGAACAATCGGAAAAATAAATGAAAAAAAATTATAACTTTGCTGTTTTTTAATTTTTTGTTTAGTTCTTCGACATATAGTAATGGTTAAATATTTCAGAATTATGGTTTAAATTTCATCAAAATCGGTCGACTATAGCATATAGCTCCCATAGGAACAATCGGAAAAATAAATAAAAAAAAAATTATAACTTTGCTGTTTTTTAATTTTTTGTTTAGTTCTTCGAGATATAGTAATGGTTAAATATTTCAGAATTAAGTTTTAAATTTCATCAAAATCGGACGACTATAGCATATAGCCCCCATAGGAACAATCGGAAAAATAAATGAAAAAAAATTATATCTTTTCTGTTTTTTAATTTTTTGTTTAGTTCTTCGACAATAGCAATGTTTAATTATTTCAGAATTATGGTTTAAATTTTATCAAAATCGGACGTCTATAGCATATAGCTCCCATAGAAATATTAAAAAAATATAAAATAACTATCTAATAATTGAGCTGCAAATCATCATAGTTTCAATGTTTTTCAGCATATACTCAAGTAAATCATAATTTAAATGTTTTCAAAAGAATTTAATTCATGCAATAGCTGCAAGGGTATATGAACTTCGGCTTGCCGAAGTTTGCTTTCTTTCTTGTTAAAAGTCAATTAAATTTCATAATATTTTATTTTTAACTAAAACTTATTAGCATGACAGCAAACAATCTAAATTGACAGTCTCATCAAAAGTGTATATATATATATCTCTTTAAAAATTAAATACATAAACAATTAATTTACATTTAAATATTTTTGTTCATAGAAATACATTACCTAAGCAGATTAAAAAATAAAAACAAATAATGAAATATTTGTCTTAAGTAATATATGGAAACGCACGACACTCATATATATAAATTTATTTTGTAATTTCAAACAAACAAATATAATTGGTATAAGCAGCTTTAGGTTCTTTATAAAGGATTAAATGTAAAGCTGATGGAAAATTCTTGAAATCCTAGAGGAGTAAGACAAACTGCCAATTAGTTTGGTGCTTTACTATCTGCTTATTGCAGCTATACCATTTCCATTGTCACTTCCTGTATTTGGAGAAGACAATGACAGACGGCCCATACGTCGTATACTTAATATTTGAGCCACATCGCTGCATTTTCTCATATTTCCTCTATCAATTGTCAGGGCTTCGTCAGCGTTTTGGTAATCAGCCAAGTGAAGTGCAATGCATCTGACAATGCACCTGCCACGCCCCCTTTCCACCCTGCCATCACGCCCATCGCCTCCTGACTGATTGGCTTCAATGCTGGATAAAAGAGCTGCATAATGCCGCTCCAATCATCCGCACTAGCCAGCTAAACGTGTGTGTGCCAGTCGGAAAACGTAATGGAAATGGGAATGGGGGCTTGGGCTTGGGTTTGGAAAATGCAGGGCGGTGTTTGGGAAATTCAGAAAAAGGCAGCAGGAGGCGTTGCATAGATCATGAAAAATTCATGACGCTTGCCGAGTGATTCAGGGCACCACCTGTCGCAACGCATGCATAATTGAAAGCTGCATTGGCATCAACTGCAAATGGCCAATAGCCGATGGAATCTTGGCAAGTACCACACATATCACTGGCGAAGAGCCTCAACTAAAATCAATTATTGCTGCTATTTAAGAGCTAAAATAAAAACAAACTGAAAATTGTAGTTTATCCTTTTCTGTCAACTCTACAAACATCCTTCTTAGAAAAATATTCTTAAGGCCTAGTCATGTTAATATTCCACTACAGGAATTAAATGGCCAGCAGAAACATTTTGCATTTTGACAATATATTTTGTGGCATAAGAAAAATATTTACCATTTAAATATTTACAATTTATACGGAATAAATTATATGTATTACATATGCTCTCTTTTTGTTTAGACTTTAAAAATATGTTTTTGTTTTATCAGGTGTATGTTTTTACATATTCATATATCAAAAGAACGCATAAATCGAGAGCCATGCAGTCCAACTGTCATTCGGACACTCCTCCCATAACTTTTTGTTAACAACTTTCTCTGCTGTTTGGTTGCTGCCATAAAAAAATGTAGAATAGGAGCAACTGCCTCGCTGGCGGGCAATAAATCTAACGATAATTTGATACGCAGCGTTTTACGATGCTTTCGGCGTCCCGGTCGTATGGTAACCCCCTCGGCCATCAGGAGGTTAATGCCCCAAGTCGGCTGTCGACTGTCGACTCTCGACTGTCAGCGCTGTAAAGTGGAGGATCCCTAAGCCGAAAGCCCGGAGCTCAGGCTAAGCCAATTAAATTAGACTTCGGACTGTTAACTGTTGCATATCTTTGTGGGCTTCTCTGGGGAATCATGGGTTAAGCGGGGGTGCAGTCACAGCCAATTGTTTGGCGTAATTCCTCGACAGCGCGGATTAAAAGATACAATTCATTTTTAATTTCTGACGGTAGATGGAAAGGGGTCATTATTTTAAAAATGATTACATTTTGTTTGTCTATACAAACATTACTGAGAAAAATATTGCAAACATCTATTAATTGTTTTGACACAGGGTGAGTGTAACACTTAGTGTTCTTTATCGTTACATTCAAAATAAATATTAAATATTTTGTCTCCATGGAAATCACTCAAATCTTAAGGGAATTATTTTGTTAGCAATTTATCGTTATTGCTTGTTTTTGGAATACTTTCTATGTATATTTATATCCGATGATTGATTTGGTTGTAGTCGTAGTGAAAAATGCTTCTCCCAATGGTGGCAAATGTTAGTCATTTGCAAGTTTCAGGCGGAAATCTCCAGTTGATTGAAGTTTCCGAGGGGCAAGTCATCTTGCCTCTACCTTTCCTTAGACCCCCTCAGTTTTCATTCCTCTATGATGGGATTTTCTCAAAGGGCGACTTCGTATCTTTCTTTGTGGGCTTTTCCCCGGCCAAAGAATTTCCACCGCTTTCTCTTGACTCTCTTCACGGTTATATGTCGCATGCTTCCCATTCCTTGACGGATTTTCCTAGACGTCTATTGTTCGTTTCTATCTAGCTTTAAAGTGTTTTCGCACTGCACACAAGAGACTTTTCCTTAATGTTGCATATAATTTATTATTTATAGGTTTAGTGAAACTAACAAATTTTGGTATTTAAAATCAAGTAAACAAAATATGGTAAGGACCATTTAGTTTGTAAATTAAATGGCGGTGCAAATGGTTTTTTTTGTGCAAGTCCAAACTCACATAAATGTGCCACTTTTCTAATTTTCAATGCAATAAATTCTGCCATTCAAGCTAATTTATCTATACCATGCAAGTGCATTTAAGAAAAAGGTTTTCTTTAATTCATAACAAACACTGATCACGTTTTTCGGTTTAAAGTAGTTTGCACCTTTGCCCCGCCTTAATTGCGAGTCAGTCGTGGAAAATCAGCGGGCAATCCTTACTACAGAGATTGCTTTTCCCCGGCAGAGCTCCACAAAATTAGACAACATTTTCCCGAGTTTAATTGTGTACCATTCGTAGATTGTTTCCAAAAATCAGCCAAGGATGTAGGGAGATAGTTGGCCAAATTGTTCAACACCCCAGCACCAGACCAAACTATTTTCCAATTTGCCCCCTTCATTTGTATAACTTTCACCACCAGAGACTCCCCAAAGTGGAGTACATGCTTCCTCAATTATGCCATCGCCACCGCCATTGCCACAGCAACAGGCACGGTGTGTGTCCTTGCCCCGCCCCCTTTTTGACGCTTTTTCCCACGCCCCTTAGAACGTTCCGTGTAGCTCGTCAAACTCGAACAGACAACGTCGAGTTTCATAAAATTCATTAGGTATTTTAAATATGCACGAACATAATTCGGTTCAGCAAACTGCTGTCTTGCTAACTGAAAGATAACTTCACACAGAGATTAAACTGAATGAAACTATGTACATATTCAAGTATTCAAATGTGATTTGGTTTAAACTAGATTTTATTTAAATTAATTTCAACAAACATCACTTAATTGAATCTCATCTTGGCAGTTGTTTGAAATGCTAAACA